TGGTAATACGGGTAAACGAACCCAGATGGTAATACGGTATAACGTAACCGGTCGCGGCATATCTGGTAAAAGAACCAGGTCGATAACTACGGTAACGCTACCAGGGTGGTAATCGGGGTAAACGAAAACAGCTGGGTGGCGCACATATATATATATATATAATATATCAACTATATATTTATATAGTGTGTGTATATGTACCATGATAGTGCCTAATGGCTGCACTATCGCACTGTGTATGTTCCTTGTAGCGATTCTACATCGCGACGACGCGCCAACTGAAGCGCTTAGAATCTGTCAGCCGCTCACCCATTTACACCCACTTCTCCGAAACAGTGACAGGTGCAAGCACTATCCGAGCCTACAGGTGCGTGCGGGTAATTAAAAAAGATGGCCGTCGTTTATCTGCTCGCGCGTGTACGAGCGTGCATTCGCGTGCATGTGTGGCTTGTCGATGTCGTCGGTACATACAAGCGATGTTTTTTTCATAAAAACATAATATCTTGCCGATTTATATATAGAATCAGGGGTAATAATGACAGTTTCAGGTACAGACTGTGGAATCAGGGGTTAATAATGACAACTTTGTCGTTATTAACCTTTGATAGAAGGATAGCAACTAGAAGTATCTGATCTAGTTACTATCCAAAACGTTTGAAACAAATGTTTGAAACTCCGGCAGATTTTTTTTAATCATGTCACTCTTCTTGTTTTGTAGGGTACAAGACACATTTATGTCTGAAAATGAGAACCGCGTGGATATAAATCAAATGTCGTATTTCCCAAATGTCATGTCAAACAGGTAATTACTGGACTGCATTGTTTATTTATTGCAAAGTTTTTTCGTTAAATAACTACAAAAAAGAGCCCGTATGTGAGAATTAAAGCTCCACACGTGAGTATTATAGCCTATCGTTAGTATGGTGCTTCCATATCGCTTTTGTTGTTGGTCTGTGAGCTTTCCATCGTCACGGTAACACCTCGCTCGTTCTCTGCTCGCAGGTGGCTTGGGGTGCGGCTGGAGTTCTTGGGAAACTTGGTCGTTGTATTCGCCGCGCTGTTTGCTGTCATCAGCAAGGCGACCGGCAGCATCTCGGCCGGCGTCGTCGGTCTGTCTGTGTCCTACGCGATGACCGTGAGTGAAACGCGCCGTTTTTCTACTCTTCTTCTTACATCTACGAAATAACAACCCGTCGTTTCTTTTCAGAGCGGCGCTGCGCGTAAGCAGCGTCCGCGAACGTTTCCTTTTCAGGTCTCGATCCCCGCGATTCGTCGATGCTGCTGCGGCGGCGCCGGGACGCCGCCGTTGCCGCCGCGCGCGCCGCTTCGGGCGTAATCGAGTTCCGACTGCATTTCTCTGTTCTCAGATGACGCAGCTGTTTTATTGGATGATTCGTCTGCTGTGCGAGCTCGAGTCCACCGTGGTCGCAGTGGAGCGCGTGAACGAGTATTCGCTGAATCCGGACGAGGTACACAGGTTCGCCCGCGTGGCGCCGCGCGTTACCACCGCTCTCATGCGTGCCTTTCTCGTTTTTCATTCCGCAGATCACGCAAAGTTTGAGTATGTTGATACGCGTGGCTAGTGACGTTGAGACAAATATTGTAGCTGTCGAGAGAGTCGCCGAATACTCGAAAACACCGCAGGAGGTAAAGCGGCGACGTGGAATTTTTTTTTCACACTGCGTTCACTTGCGCTTTGTTCGCGCTTTGTTTGCCACTGCTTCTCTCTGCATTTGTTTGCATGAAAATGCGTCTCTGGCATCAAAACACAATGTTACTATTAATTTTCTGCTCGTGTCTATTTCTGCAGGGGCAACACTTCTCACGTTAATGCTTGCTTCTGGTTCGTAAACGCCTAGGCATTCTGTCAACATATTCTACTTTTCCTGTTCTTATTGTGTGGCTAACACTATAATCTGCACTATTATCTGTGGCTAACACTAGCATTCCATTTCATACGTATGTATACACACTTTAAGCTTTCATTTGCTTATAGCGAGTATGCGATTGTACGATGAGAAAACTTATGAGATAACAGTCTCATGCTTTCGCGTCAAACGTTGCATACAACATGCGAGTATGCGATAGTACGATGAGAAAACTTATGAGACTGCGGTCGTGCTTACTGTTGCCGTAACTCAGCATTAGCGCATCGTCGCGGTGTTCACTAGATTCTTTCCTGACTCTAGGCTCCGTGGTCTTCGGGTGACACTCCCGGCCTGACGCCGCCGCCGGAATACTGGCCATCAGAGGGTGACGTCGTTTTCCAGGACTACTCCCTCAGATACAGAACAGGTCTGCCACTCGTGCTGAAGAAAGTCACATGCCACATCAGTGGGCAGGAGAAGGTGAGGCCGCGTGGGCACGGTTAGGACGTGTAGTAGCTCGGACATCGCGATTAAAACGAATGCACTTACATCTTGAAGTGTGTACGAATTCTCGTTAAATCGATTTTAAGTTCGTAATGTGTGAATTTTCGTTTTCACCAAAAAGCAGCTTGCTGTAGTGTAATATTATAAAATCATGAAACAAACATATCTAAAGTATATATATATATATATAGATAGATATGTTCATGGTAGTAATGGATGTGATTTGTGTTGTTATTCCTTGTGATTTTTCTTGCACAGATTGGGATATGTGGAAGAACGGGAGCTGGCAAGAGTTCGCTAACACTGGCTCTGTTCAGGTTAATCGAGGCGTCTGCTGGAGAAATCCTTATAGATGGGCGCAACGTTGCTCAGGTGATAGATAACAGTACTGTTTTCAGTCGATTAGGAAAGGTCCAGGGTGGGACAAGTTCAGATGATGCAGAGATACACAGTGTAAATTTTGTGAAAAGTGTTTCGCTGTCCACCCATACGGTTAACTACAGTAGGATAAGTGTCTGTAATCAACAGACACGTGTATAATGTCATGAATGAATATATCCTGTTGTGAGCAAGTGGGCGTTGACAAGTATATAAAAAAAACAGAGCGACAGGGTGCGAAATTAACGCGAGTCCGGAGTCAAATACTCCCCGATTTACTGTCGGGACTCCCTGATTTGACATACGCAGGAGTCCGTGTGACTCCCTGAAAATTCTGCTATACTAACTATAGTTCGTTCCAGAGCACGGCCTCGCGGAATTACCGTATTTTTACAGCAAATGTCCAAAGAAAATTTGGCAGACGTGCATCGCACGAATCTTCAAAATAAGCACATGCGTTATTGTTGTTATGCTTTAGTTTTGAACTTCAGACTGCAGACTCCCTTATTTCGCTGCGGACTCTCTCTTTTTGAGGGTAGGACACCCTTGTTCAAAATTTAATTTCTACCCCTGGAGCGATGTTTTGATTGGTGATATTGTCTCACCTATATAGAACCAAATAATTTTGTTCGCCATTGTAAATATAATGAGTGTTTTCCTCTACATTAGATGGGCATATATCTATATAATTATATATATAGTTATAGCAGATATAAAATGTACGTTTCTCTCTTCTGCCGCCAGATGGGGCTGCACGAGCTGCGCTCCAAGCTCACCATCATCCCGCAGGACCCCGTCCTGTTCTCGGGCGACCTCCGCATGAACCTCGACCCGTTCGGCTGGTACACCGACGACGCCATCTGGCTGGCGCTCGAACACGCACATCTGAAGACATTTGTCGCCTCGTTGCCGGAGGGACTCGCGCACGAGGTGAGCGAGGGCGGAGAGAACCTGAGCGTCGGGCAGCGCCAGCTGGTGTGCCTCGCGCGCGCGCTGCTGCGCAAGACGAAGGTGCTCATCCTGGACGAAGCCACGGCCGCCATCGACCTTGAGACGGACGACCTCATCCAGGAGACGATCCGGCGGGAGTTTGCCGACTGCACTGTGCTCACGATCGCTCACAGACTCAACACGATCATGGACAGCTCCAGGTATGATTCAGCCGTGCAGCATTTCACTCGTCACTCTGTCGTGGTCGCTAAAAAATATACCAGTAGGGGCACGTAGGGATGCTCAAGAATTAGTTATAAAAAAAAATTTTTTTATGTAGTACTGTTGTAATTTGTACCTAGAAATCTTTTACATGTTTATCATACCTAAATGTCTTGTAAAGCAATTCGCATCTCCTATAACTGCCCCTGTGTGCAGGATTAATTCTAGAAAATATCTCAAGTAAAGGATTTGGTGTTCTCATTAGCACGTAAAATAGTCAAGTTGTTTATGCTATAACTGTCAGTGTGCATCGATGTTTTGAAATCTAATATGTTAAAATTTATATGTATTATTATTTTATTTAATTACAGAGTTATGGTGTTAGACCAGGGAGTAATTGCAGAATTTGACTCGCCCGAAAATCTTCTGGCAAATCCGGACAGCATCTTTTATAGTCTAGCAAAAGAAGCAGGGATTCACGGCCTATCTCAGAATGGGTAAATCCATGTTACTATTGGTTCCTAGTATATATTCCTAGTATATCATGGGCCCCACCCATTACCCACCGAAAAGCGATTATTCTTACAACAATATTTTCTTAACGTTATAAATAATGAGACAAGAATATTAGGCATTATATAGTTGATTTTGTGATGAAAAAATAATGGTGAACAAAATCGCATGTTTTGATCTACATTATACTCTCAATTAAAGAGCTTCCTGCAAGCTGTGATTGAAACGTTATGAAATTGTATTATACATTGACACTACCAGTAACTGTGATGAATTTAGATATATATATATATATATATACACATATAAGAAAATTTGATCGAGCTAGAGTTTGCTCACATAAAACTATGAAATATGTCAATAAGTAATAAGATTGCCTTCATATGTTGGCTCAACTATGACCGATTGTAATACTACCACATCACAAGGTGCACCAAAGGTGTAAAAGCATTAGGATGTGACGATTGAGTGTGGGATGCACACCTAGTATTTTATAAGCAATACCGTTTGTTATCTAAATAAAAGGTGTAAGAATTGTGTTTCTACAACAAGTTATGTTGGACACAATCAGATATTAAGAAATGTGGAAATTATAAACGTGTGATAATTCTTTTATACAACTTTAAAAATTGCAGATTAGTTGCAAACTAAAGTTTAATGTGGTTGTGCGTGCTCTTTACATATACAATGTAGGCTCGATTATATGCCCTTCTGTTATCCAATGTTCTTTTTTATCTGACAATAGTCAATCTGCGTGCTATATGTGTATTGTACAGTGTTGTACGTACCAGTACTGTGTACGCACGCATAATATTTTGCCCAATCCCATTCAGCTTTGTCTGTCAGTGTGTTGCATACAGCCAGTGATCTACTTCTGTTTAATTTGTGATTGCATATTTATGTTGTACTTCCATATAATCTGTGATTTGATTCACCCCCACCAATTTCTGCATCATCCGATCGATAGCTTCAATCTAATTTAGGTCGCATCATCAAGATTCAGCTATATATATATATATATATGCATAATGATCCAAAATATATTAGAAGTGACATGACCTGATATCTCCTCTATGATTAAATATACATTCCAATTCGACAGAAAATAAAGGGTTTGTTCAGTGGTGATTGCAAATAAGTGCTATATTTTTATGTTTCTTATTAAAATTAAAATTAATTTGTTAGCAAATTTTTGTATGCATGGTATTTGTGATTGCATATTTATGTTGTACTTCCATATAATCTGTGATTTGATTCACCCCCACCAATTTCTGCATCATCTGATCGATAGCTTCATTCTAATTTAGGTTGCATGATCAAGATTCAGCTATATATATATATATATATATATATGCACAATGATCCAAAATATATTAGAAGTGACATGATTTAGATTTTTTAGATTTAGATTTTAGATTTCCTGACCTGATATCTCCTCTATGATTAAATATACATTCCAATTCGACTGAAAATAAAGGGTTTGTTCAGTGGTGATTGCAAATAAGTGCTATATTTTTATGTTTCTTATTAAAATTAAAATGAATTTGTTAGCAAATTTTTGTATGCATGGTATTTGTAAGTAATGAAAATAAAGTGTATTTTGATTAGCATGTTGGTAATAACTAATAAAATCATACACATGTATGTTGAAATGTGTCATTGTTACATAATATACACTGTTATTTATTGCTAATTATAAGACTCCTGTCCAGATAAAAATACTAATTAGTCATACTCTTCTAATCACTTTTCTGTACATAAAATTTGAATTATATATTCACATTATTTTATATAATATATTTACCGTGAACACAGGGTTGTGGTAGTAAATTAATAATACATAATACATGATAGAAAAAAAATATGATGAAGAATAAAGGAGAGAAAGCGAGAGAGGGTAGATGGCAAAAGAAAGAGATGTGTGCGTGAGAGTGGATGTGAGAGAGCACAAGCTACAGAATGGTTGAGTATGTGTGGGTGTGTATCATGTGTATATATTATGTGTATGTGAAAGAGCGAGCGAGAGAGAGAGAGAGAGAAGGGGGGGGGCGAGAAGGGGAAAGAGAAACAAAGTCAGAGTACAGAAGTGAAGGCGAGATGTATAACTTTTTTAACCACGGAATTTGGTCATTAACTATGTCAACTAGGTTTTATAGCATAATCTGTATAAGACCTTGTAATAAATTAAGTCACAATTGGTAATTGGGCACCAATAATTTAATTTGCAAATCTGCAAAAGGTAAAAATAAAAACGGATATGCGTATTATATTGTACTAGCTTTAAGTATGGTATTTTATATAAACATATAAAGCGGTGGCGCCTAATTTTAACTAGAAGGTGGCGAATCGGGAAATAAATTTCGGTCGGCCATGGTTTTGGTGATGGTCACTTGTTTACCAATGTTAGCTGTCTTAGCGGGAAGTGATATATATCAGAGGTATTGCAGTATAATCTCTTTATTTGTTGCGAAAATAGGAAAAGTCTTACTCGTTTTCGCAAATGATTGTTACATAGTGTAAGTAGGTCACCATAAAATGGAAAAATAAATACGGTAGTTTGTATAGTTCATAGTTATCGCAGTAAGTTCTGCCATCCGAAATTTAGTTCGTGTGATCATTTAACAAAACGAAAATTCTGTGCTTATAAATGCTCGAATAATTAAGTTCAAATTAGGAATCGAAATAGCATTGTCATGAATTCAGCAATTAGTTATTTGCGATGTAGTGTTGCAGGTTAATAAAAGCACATAGTAACTGTACAGCTGGTTAATAATGGAGCTGGAAGATTGTGTTGGTTTACTTGCCGTACGTTTTTGGTTCAATACAGTAGACTGAATTTCTGTTCTGCTCATTATGGAAAGTGATAGTAGACCGTATAAAAATTGACAACATGGTTAGAGACCGTATAACTCAGAAATTACAATGCAACACATACAATTTATTAAGTGATTAGCATTAGATTTATGTTAATTTTTATGATATTGCACAGAAATAGGATGATAGCTTACTCTTACTGTCAACTCAGACCTTACCATATCCAATCTTCTGGTTGCAATAGGCTTAATCACATTACGCCAGATTACGGTAATGTAGGCCATCATATTTGTGGTCCATGTGGTATGGCAGGAAACAGAGCACAGTCTACAGATTCCTAAGCTCAATGCTTGGAGGAATACATTTTTTCAGTTCAGTGTTTACTGCAACTGTTTCTTGTTCTGGCGATAGCTTCGGGAAACCTCGCGTGTTTCCGCCATTGATTGACAATGAAATTTATTTTCCTTCTACTATCTTTTCTCGTATTTCCAGTCATTGACGCAGCCATTACTCTAGATACAATAATGTAATCCAAACCCAAGATAGGGTTACAACGTGTCGCTATGGTTTTCTGTGGAGGAAATTCAGGGAACCCCTGAGTGAATCACTCAGGGCGGTTTGCTGGTGCGTTTTCAGAGACTAGAACTTCCAAACTGGGTTTATTCTCAACACGAATCTTTCTCCGCTATCTTGGAACTTACTATGTATCACAATACTCTGTATTAAACTAATATAACCTGTTACAAAAATTCGAAGTGACGAGCGGCGATATTTCGAGCGCCATTTCTGTTGACCTGTGACGTACGCATTTCCAATGCGCATAGCAATCGGCAAACGCAGCGCTCTCCGATTGGTCGGTGAATCTGCTCTTCAAACCGAAATACGTCACAGGTCAACAGAAATGGCGCTCGGTATATTCGCCGCTCGTCACTTCGAATTTTTGTAACAGGTTATATTAGTTTAATACAGAGTATTGTGATACATAGTAAGTTCCAAGATAGCGGAGAAAGGTTCGTGTTGAGAATAAACCCAGTTTGGAAGTTCTAGTCTCTGAAAACGCACCAGCAAACCGCCCTGAGTGATTCACTCAGGGGTTCCCTGAATTTCCTCCACAGAAAACCATAGCGACGTGTTGTAACCCTATCGTGGGTTTGGGTTACATTATTGTATCTACCATTACTCCACAAAAACGTCTTGTTATTTATCGCCATGGTGATGACCCGCCCCTTACGCTGGATGTAGTAACGCTGTAGTAATAACGTATTGAGTCGGCGCTATACAGCGGCGACCGGAAGCAACATACAGTCCACAAAACGAGAGACAGTTGCAGTAAACACTGATCTCGAGTCGGTTTTTAGCGAAAATACCAGATTTTCACCACTCATTATCTCAGCGTAGAGGCATCGTAGGGACATGCGGTTTGTTTTATATTAACAAGGTAGGACAGCTGATCAATAATACTGCAAAGAATCGTCAAAATAAAGCGGGGAAAGTTTATTATTTCGACTAATACTGCAACATGGTTTCAGCATTTCACCGTTGTATGCTCTCCTGAATACGCTCTTGTTTATATCTGTAATTCATTGTGATAAGTAAAGTGGCTGTAATATGGCATTGGCACACACCAGCATACGTAATTCAGCAATAGTGCCCAGCATAAATATAACCAGCTATATGGACTCTGTTTATATTTGCCACGTGTAAGAATATTCTAGAACAATACCTCAGTGTGGTGAATATGAATGTCACAGGTCGTGGAAGTAATCATGCGGAATTTCCAATATCCTTAAGGTTAACAGTGGGATATAATTTCTCTGGTTTAATGTACAAGGTGCGATTGCAGCATCAGAAGCATCAATAGGAATTATAATCAGACCGGGAATTGCTAAACGAAGCAAAGCCAATAAGAGCAGTTTCCATTGCAGTGAACTTTTTTGCTGTTGAGCACTTGTTTAATTTCATCTGTTTATAATGCAAGAATGGAATTTTGATCGAGTGCGCTGATTGGTCTGACGGGAATTTACGGTGCAGGTCATTTTACATGCTTGAGTCGTTTACTGTGTATGTGATTACTAGAGCACAAACTTCTGTTTATTTTGGTAAAAAATATTTGCCAGAAACAGCAGTAGGAGAGAAGTTGGCCACAGCCGATTAGAACACGTTAGTTGGATGATTGTCGTTGCATTTTTATCATTTGAGCAGTGGGATACTGTCAACCTACACCCGTTGTCATGCTCCTCATTAGTCTTCGTCTAGAGCTGTGTCACACACGCTCCCCTGCTATGCGTGCCAGTGTTAATATTTTGTCTTTTATTTCAGGCTCTAGCTGACTTGCAGAGAAACACGTACATTGAGTTGGCTAGGGCGCCAGGGATCATTCCAGGAAAATGTCAGGGATTGCCGTTAGTCGGTTGTCAGAGGAACGCAAAGCTTGGAGAAGAGACCATCCATTTGTGAGTATCAGGATTCTATAGCGGTGCAAAATATTATTTTTATTTGGCAAATGCTGGAAAGTAATTTAATATGTCATTTTAACATTTCACGTAATATATATTGAGCCTCAAGATGTCGAGATTAGAATATGCGGTTGGGTGCAAATGCAGTCGCAATTATTTATTTGTGGTTCCTATATTAACATGCAGGGCTTCATAGCTAGACCTACAAAAAACCCAGATGGCTCTCTCAACCTTATGAACTGGGAGTGTGCTATTCCTGGAAAGAAAGGGGTATGTAATAAATATGAGCAAAAAGTTATATATTTATATATATAGATAATATAAAACCAGACTAATTTAACTGATGTATATTTATTTCGAAGACCTAAATTTTCCACTAACAGGGTTTTGATCACAGTTCACACTTGATACACTGTGTATATTCCAGTACATCGAGTTCACACTTGATACACTGTGTATATCTGATATATAGGTGTCTCAAGTTTGAACTGAGATCAGTCTATGATACTGATAGTCTGAAGTTTACTTCTTTGAAATAAATATACATCAGTTAATTTAGCCTTGCTTTATATCCCAAATATCTATACTTATGACACAGCAGGAGTTCTGTAGCACCATCTTCTATATAATATATACATATACATATATATATACACCGATGTAGCTGCGCCGGTCGGTAATAGCCGGCTCTGGTGTTGGCCGACCAGCACTCGGCTTTAAATAACATCCTTCCGACCGGCACAAAAATGATTGAGTTTGTGTAAAATTACCCTCAAAATAGTGAGCATATCTAAAAATAATCACAACTGATACACTTAGAATTAATTTAAAAAGCACTGAGTTTAATGTCAACAATAATTATGCGTATAACCATCATCTGATTACATCGTATAGCGCACAGTACGTGCAGTATAGCTGGCTAAGCACCATGTTGCTATTATAATAATTTATGCATATGATCAGGAGTGTATCAATAGGAGTGAGACAGACTAAAACCGGCAAAATTCAACATATAGTAGCCTTAGTCTACCTATGATTTATTGTGTTTACCTCGATAAACTTGAGCTCAAGTCTTGTCTCAACTTTCCGAAATCCCTGGCAAACCTCGCTAGTTGTTTGCTATGTTTGCATTGCTAAGCGATAGAGGGCTTTCAAAAGCATTGCCCTTATGTTTCGGTTCACAGTTGTTGAAAATGCGGTATAACTTTCAAAAACCACATTGTACGTTTGGA